TATTCCATTTGTATTAAAACAACAGCTTTTGCTGCTAAGATGATGATTAATAAAGAGTTATTTCAAGAAAATTCACCAAGCGGCATGAGAAATGGATTCCTGAAAGGGTTTAGAGTTGTTGAGGACAGATCCAAACTGACAAGAAAATTTAAGCTTGATTTAATGCTTTATAAAAATTGCTCACTAAAACGAGTGGGAGAGGGGTCAAGAGAGAATTCCGTTTTTCTTACTGACAAGAACTGGCTTGATATCACACACCCTAAATGGCAAGTGTCTACACATAGGCTGAATAAAATGAAGACAGGAATGCTCTAAAAATTCTATGTTGTGAAATAATTTTCCAAAACGAGGAATGAATTTGAGACAGAGACATTCCTTTTTGATAAGAAATAAACAAGCTCTACTTTTGACTATTGACTTGAATTATATGTTTTCATCTAAAGGTCTGACCTATTCCTCTTCTTTCCTTCAGATGGTTGTTTTTATCTTTTAGTTTTTGCTACAGCATCAAAAATCTTGTGTGTTTCTCATTGACATGAATTAAAAATGTTTTACCTGCAACACAAAGAACTATTAAAGTGATAAAAAGACAACGACTGTATTTCGGCTCTTCAATAAAAGTAAAAATCTGCTCCCTTTCTTTCCCACTAGACTATTAAATGCTGAAAAATCCACAGCCTTTCTGCCAAAAGGGTCACATTATGGATCTTTTAAATAAATAAGTTAATTAAACCTTGATGTTATGAAACATTTCTGAGAAGTTCTAATTAATTTTTAAACAATATTGAAATAATGACTTGGTAACTCACATTAAAAAAAAAAATTATAACCCAGTCAATCTCACATACAGTATGTCACAGTAGACTGATGATTTTTTAATGGCTAGAAACACAGTTCATCGGTCTGGCTAGTAATTAAGATAGCTTGGGGGGAAAAAAAACACAGGTTTTATAGAAGTGACCAGAATTTTTAATGGTTTTATTGACTCTCCAGGTATTTGCTTTGTTTCTTCCTTGATAGCATAAGGTATGGAAATTAACATATGCAACTGCAATCTTTTAATTTAAGTCAGTGTTTGTCTAAAGTTGTTGGATTGACTCTTTTCATTGGAGATACTTTGCAACTCAGTAAAATAGGTCTGGACTTTTTCCCATGGGACTCTCTAATTATGCCCCAGTTCCCCTTGACTTGACTGCACAGTGTAGACAAAACCACTTCTTAATCACTGGAGGATTCATCTAATTTCTTTGTTGTTCCTGCTTCTGTTGGCATGAGTTCTGGGTGTTTGAAGGGAATGCTAGGCTTGAACAAGAGTTATAGAGGAAGTGGTATGAAATGGTAGAGAGGAAGCTAATTCTGACTTGATCCCAGAGGCCTAAGTGTAAGCCCATGATCTTTCTAAAATACGTAGCTGCCCTTGAGATCATCCTACTTCATTGGCAGCAGAGTTCCTCACCACCTGTTTGAGATTTCCTGGCATGTTTGTTAAAAAGGCAGCTCCAAGGGTTCCATTCCAGCTTACTGAATCAGATTCTCTGGGGATGCTTTCTATAAATTTGCATTTTTAAAAAGCTTCAGGACTTCATACTTTAAACTCTGAGAACCTGACCTATGAGATTAAGTTTCCTGGCATACACAGCAAAGGTAGTCCTGCCTGAAATGCTGTCTCATTATTCATTCCCAGACATTACAGTTATCAGTGGGGAAATACATGCATTTCTGTTCACATCATGATGTTTCAGGATCCCTGTCTTTGTAAATAACTTGACCTATAATAGAATTGCTCACCTGACAAGTTCTATAGATACCTTTCTATCAGAGAGTTCTGCAGATAATAAGCTCCATGAAGGCCATGACCTTGTCTATTTTCACAGTTGTTTCCTTAGTACCTCACATAGTGCCAGTGCATAGTAGATGCTCAATAAAAACTTTGAATTCATCGGTGCTTAGATGTCATATCCCCCCTTTGCCCAAGAAAGATGTTATCATCTTCTGCTCTTTCTTTTGGTCACAGTTTTAATATGAAGCCAGTTCATGACAGTCACGATCCAGGTCTACTGACCCTGGAGTCTGTTTCTTAGTTTCTCAGGATATGTTTCTCTAACAAGAACCCCTCCTAACAACAAAAATTCAGGATGTTCTTTTAAAGGCAATTGTTTTTGAAATAGTAGAAATGATTATTGCTGAAACTGACAGGGAATCCAGCTACACTATTAGAATTCTTAAGGGTGAGATTCAGGCATGCATCCTCTTTAAAAGCTACAGGATTCTAATATTTGACCAGAGTTGAACCACTGATTATGCTGCATGCAAATAATGTCTTTAGTGACCAACTAGTAAGCGTATGTTTTGTAAACTATTTGGTATTGTGGGAAGACTGGAAAGATGAGTCTAAGTAGCTTCATGCTTGAGGCCAGTTACTTATTACTCCTGGGGCTCAGCGATGCTGTCCTTAAAATGGGATGTTGGGTAGCTAATCTCTCAGATTCTTGCCAACCCTACTCTTCTATACTCATCTGATTGGAAGCCAAAGTCAAGTCAGACACTGGAGTAGCCAAGTTGCACAGGTGGTGTATGTATCTTGTGGCAGCTGTCATTTATTTTTTTCCTGAGTAAATCATTCTACACTGGTGCTTGCACTGGAATGCCTGTCAAGTTTAGTTTATTATGCTAAATAGTACCCTCTTGGATGAAGCTAATTTTGCTTCCAAAGACACATCGATTAGCAACTTCCATGATGAGAACATCTGATCAGACCATATTTTGCACTCTAAAGTTTAATTTGGATTAGCAGACACTTCTTGAGTTCCAACTGGTGTATCAGGCGCTGTGCTAAATTCTGAGATATAAAGATTAATACAGTAGAGCCCCTGTCCCTGAGTTGCTAACAAGTATAATGCACAAATGGGGCTTCCCAGCTAGTGCAGTGATAAAGAATCCATCTGCCAATGCAGGAGACAAATGAGACATGGGTTTGATCCCTGAAGTAAGAAGATCCTCTGAGTAGGAAATGGTAACCCGCTCCAGTATTCTTGCTTTGAACATTCCACGGACAGAGGAATCCATGGGGTCACAAAGAGTCAGCCACGACTGAGCACACACGCATGCATAATGCAGAAATAGGTGTAAGCAGGGTGATTTCCCATAACGGAAAATTGATGAGGTCACTATTTCTAGGTCTCTCCTTCTGCTACAGCCAGATCTTATCATAATCCAGGGCTAAGAGTCTGAAGGAGAGAGACCATGTAGGTCAACTTGTTTTTAAGGAAGATTAGACATTAGCAAAGTGGCTGCAACTAGAAGTGGGTTTTAAAATAAAAAAAAAAAAAGAAGAACTTTAAAACACATGTGTTTCATTGCATCTTATGGTTTGGAGTTATAGGGCTATAGGTACTAGGATATCTGAGGGGTGTTCAGGAAACAAGATTGGAAGTAGCTTTCTGAAGCATGTGTTGGTACAGTTTATGCAGAATGGAAAAGCAATACAGGTTTTCTGGACTCATCAAAAATGTGTTAAGGTAATTTTCTGCATTTGGCCCAGCTTAAGTCTGACCTTCAGTTTTCAGAGAAGATTATGAGGTTAATTAGGTGGGAGATTTAAAAATCTAACAACAGTTTAGGTGAGCAACTGATATGTTAACTTGGCATTCCAACAGAATTATAAAAAGCATAGACACCTGCTTACTGTGATGTATAAGATCTTCCATGACTAATTTACACAGAGTTTCAGAAATAATGTAACCAGTGCTTTTGCCAGGCCTCTGGCAAAAAGACCCCATTAGAACTGAAAATGAGGTGATGAAAATAATGGCAGCAGCTAACACTTATTTTATGTCGCTGTATGCCAGACCCTGGGTTAAACACTTTGCATTCTTTGTTTTACTTAATTCTAACAGAAACTCCTTTTACAACTTTCCAAAGAAGAAATCTAAGGCACAAAGATGTTAGCTATTGCTGAAATTCAAAAAGCTGATAAGTAGTGGACCTAGGGTTCAAGCACATAGGTTAGTTAGGACCCTCCAGGTGGAAACAGAAATAAATCTAAGCCCACTTAAACAAAAGGAAGGATACAGGGCTCTGTGGTGTAACCTGTTCTTAGAAATGTGATTGGAAGGGATTTACTATCCACATTTCCAGTCTTCATTTCTTCTCCTTTCTACGTCTTCTTTGTTGCTTCTTTCTCTTCAACCATTCTTGGCCCCTTGCTTTTGAACTGACTAAAAAACAGCATATAGCAGTGAAATTCTAAGGGAATCAGACAGGAACTTTGCAATGGCTTATTAAGTGCCCTTGGAAAGGTTACTGAGACTGTACTTCAGTAGTTCCTGTAGCTGGGATGGTCTGTCTTAATAAAAAGTGAACGTGGATCTCAGATAATTATTTCCATAGTTAAACAGCCTCCATGATTTTACCCATACATATAATTCTTCTCTGAATTATAAATCAGGAAGCAAGTTTATCTTCCAACATAACTCTTATGCTGCCCTGATTCTTCCTGGAAATAGATCAGATAAACACATTCACTCGGATGCATACAGATTTGATGATTTGTGTATTACTTATCCTAGGGTATTGTGCCTTATTTAAAGGGACAACTTGAGTGTGATTTCCAAAAATCTTCAGAATGGAGCATTGGACCCCAAAAGGAAGACTGAGACTGTTATAGCCACGTGTTCTGGGAAACAAACTCACTCAGAAGGACAATGCAGATAGTAGAGTGCAGTTTATTACACCGACAGGCCCAAGGCAGAGTCTCCTCTTAGCCAAGGACCCTGACCAACCTTTGTGAAAATCTTATATACCTTAAGTGTACTGCTCAAGCCCACATCACCGAAGTCCTTAAACCTAGCCTGGAAAGTGTTAAAGGGAGGTACAATCAGGTTACAGCCATGATTCATAATCAGAAGAGTCAGCTGGTTTTACATTATAGCCTACACCAGTGGGTGCCATAAAGATGACAAAGGTGATTGACTACATAGGGGACTATTTCATTCTTTTAGGCGACGGGAAATCTTGGTATGGAATCTGGTGTTTATCAGTCTGGGAGGCCAGTTCGGCTGCAGGTATGTTATCCCCATGGCTACCAGGCACATAGTCCAAAGCTCACTGAAAGCTCAAGATGGAGTTTCCTTCTTTTTCAAGATGAAGTCAGCTCAGCCTGTTCCTTTCCTCCCTCAAGACAAGGCAGATATTTGGGGACATCATGGACTTAGAGAGCATCCTTCAACTTATTCTTTATCCCACTATATATTATCCCATTCTAGATATTCCTGAGGATGTCATTCGCTTGAATAGAGAGTAATATTTAATTGAAATATCCAGATAATTGCCTTACTTTCTGCATTACTCAGGATAGTCAAGTTTATGCTTTGGAACAAGAAATCCCTAAAACACCAGTGGCTTGAACCAACAAAGGCTTACATTTTGCTTATGTGACATATCTGTCTCAGGGCTGCAGAGAGGCTCTGCTCATTTTAATTACTCTAGTCCTCCAGGCTCCACCATATTCAACAGTCCTAGTTGCCTTGCCAGAGGGAAAAGATGTACTAGAGAGTCTCATCCTCCCATTTAAATTCTGATTCACTTGACTTGTTCATTGTCTGGATAGAAACATGGCCCCATCCAACCACAAGGGAGGTAGGGGGTTCCATGTGCTAGAAGGAATGAGAATTTAATTTGATTAATACCACAAATGACTGTCCCACATTTTAATAGTTTTCCTCTATGGGACATTCTCAGAATGTAATAAAAGCAGACAAGTCAATGGATCTACTAAGAGTCAGGTACTACTTTAACCATTTTATGTATATCATATCTCAGTCTTCAGGTCAATGCTTTTGTTATTCCCATTTTAAAGATAAACAAACTGAGGCATAAGAGATTTAATAGTAATTTGTTCAAGATCTCACAGCAACCTGGGATTTGACCTCATGCCATCGAGTCCATGCTCTTAATCACAAAAAGCATGTTCTTTATATGGATTACTTATAAAAAAATGATGGTTTTCATGAGAAATGATTAATTATGGACACACAGAAAAATTCTTAGTTTATAGGCATATCATAGGTGTAAAATATAACTGTTGCTACAAAAATAGAAGTGACCCAATCTTGAGAGCATTTAGTATAGGAGGTATTTTTCTATTTTGGTATGTTTTGGAATTTCAATGCATGACTGGTATATTCTGATGGCAAGTTCTAATTTAGACTGATTTGTTTAGGAGAAATAAATGATAACATTTATAGAGATTAACATGCAATCTGACTTTAAAACATGTTTACCTAAAAATTAATGAAGATAGCATGTAGGGCCATTAACTTTTAATGATGAGTAATAATGAGGATGCAAACATAGCTGAGACAGTATTTCTTGGTGTAGCAGGGTCCTCCAACAATGCTGGAAGCCTGGTGCATTATTCCTGGGTGAGGGGTCCCAGCAGCAGGACCTGACTCTGGTTGACTTAGCAGGAAATGGACTTACTGACTGGCATCTGTGAAACTGACAGAGCTTCTGGGAATGCTGGAGAACCCACCACAGAAAAGAGGCAGAACAAAGTGGAGCTGGACTCCAAGAAACTCAGCCAACATCATGAGCACCAGTTCCATGAGGGCATCATGGCTGCCGAAGCAGAGCATTGGATGCTATGGTTTGTCGTACTGGCCCAGATGCCACTGCTACCTGTGGACACTATGCACCGCTGCTGCAGTCAGAGCCACTAGAATGGATTGTCCCTTCTCTCTGCTTCTTTGTGCCACCAGCAACTCATTCAGAGTCCCACATGGTTTCAGCTGTTTGGCCAGATCTAGGTTAGGTGCCATGTTTTAGTTGTTAGAGGGACTGGGAAAGTGAGTTCCCTTTAAGTTTTATAGTGCCTGGTAGCCTTTTTGTTCCTATGTGATGCTTTCTCTGAACATAATAAATGCTGAACAGCCAGTAGGGGACAAAAGGAAAATGTTCACTATGGCTGGCTGGGGATTGTTTATATGATTAATCAGGAAAACGTATCCCTGTTTCCTCGTCTGTTTTGTTTTCTGTTCATAAAAATTTGTATCCAAAAGACTTTTAATTTGCTTATTTACTTAGTTAAAAATAATTTCATATAATACACTTGCTCCTTGGAAAAAAAAGCTATGAAAAACCCAGGGAGCATATTAAAAAGCAGAGACATAACTTTGCCAACAAAGGTCCATCTAGTCAAAGCTGGGTTTTTTCCAGTAGTCATGTATGGATGTGAGAGTTGAACCATAAAGAAGTCTAAGCGCCAAAGAATTGATGATTCTGGAGAAGACTCTTGAGAATCCCATGGACTGCAGAGAGATCAAACCAGTCAATCCTGAAGGAAATCAACCCCGAATATTCATTGGAAAGACTGATGCTGAAGCTCCAGTGCTTTAGCCACCTGATGCCAAGAGCCAACTCATTGGAAAAGACCCTGATGCTGGGAAAGATTGAGGGCAACAGGAGAAGGGGGCTGCAGAGAAAGAGATGGTTAGATAGTATCACTGACTCAATGGGCATGAATTTGAGCAAACTCTGGGTAATAGTGGAGGACAGAGGTACCTGGGGTGCTGCAGTCCATGGGGTCGCAGAGTCACACAGGACTTAACAACTGAACATCAATAATATGTAAAACATTATTCCAGGCACTGAGAGTTGCAAAAACAAACAAAAAGATACAGAATTATATTCCATTGCTCAGGTTGATTTGGGGAGGGATAAAGAAGTAGAATGTAATTCAGAGGATAGAGAGATGGTTTATAGAAAAAGACAAGAAAAGACTTTGAAGGCATAGAACATTTGAGTTGAAACTTAGATAAGCAGAGATGGGAAGACAACCATTTCTCCTGGAGGAAAAGGTAAGAAAAGATAGTGTGGCTATATCTAGGGAGTAATAAGTTGTTTGACTGCTGGACAAAGAAGTAAGTCAGGAAAAGTAAATCAGGCCTTTATCATGAATGTTTTTGAATGACTGGGAAGTCTGCATTTTAGTTCATAGGTATTAGGGAGCTATTAAGTGTTTTTGAGCAGAGTGACAGAAATCCAACTGAAATTTAGGAAAATCAACTATCAGTAATATTTAACAGGTTGGCCAATAAATTTGCTTGATTTTTTTCTATAAAATGTAGTGGAAAACCTGAGTGAACTTTTTGGCCAACTCAATAAAATGGCTAGATTGAAAAGGAAACCAGAGTCAGAGAAATTATTTAAGAAAGTGAATAACCCAGGACAAAGACATGAAGGCCCTGAAAGAATTTGATAGGCTTGAGAACAAAAAGGGAATGGATGTCAGAAATAGTCCACTGTAGTTAAGGAAGTGATATTTTATATGTGGTCACCATAATGATAGAGATTGCTGTTAAGGATCCATCATAGCCAGTCAGAGAGGGAGAGAGAGGGGTGAGACATGGGGAGGGTGATGAGCAAATGGGACCAGCCCTTTCCTGGACCCCCACTCTAGGATGCTACCACCACCTCTTTGAACTTTGCTATTCTGACCTCACTGTAAAAATGACCTTTTTCATTAGTTCTTCCAAAGTAAAATTGAAATTCTTTTTTTTCTTAATAGTGACATAGACTACCATTTTTGACTGTTTATCAAATGCCAAACACATTTCATGCTTCATTTCTAATCATGATCACACCCTTGAGACATATATACTGATATCACTTTAAGTATGAAGAAACTGGGGATGAGAGAAGTAGGTGCCATTATCTTTATTAGCCACCGTGGTTTGGCCTCAGATCAAACAATAGGGAAGGAACACAACCCCACCCATCAACAGAAAATTGGATTAAAGATTTATTGAGCAGGGCCCCGCCTATCAGAAGGAGACTCAGTTTCCCCCACAGTCAGTCTCTCCCATCAGGAAGCTTCCATAAGCCTCTTATCATCAGAGGGCAGACAGAATGAAAACCACAGAGAAAGCTAATCAAACTGATCACATGGACCACAGCCTTGTCTAACTCAATGAAACTATGAGCCATGTCACATAGGGCTACCCAAGATGGACGGGTCATGGTGGAGAGTTCTGACAAAACGTGGTCCACTGGAGAAGGGAATGGCAAACCACTTCAGTATTCTTGCCTTGAGAACCCCATGAACAGTATGAGAAGGCAAAAGGATAGGACACTGAAATATGAACTCCCCAGGTCAGTAGGTGCCCAGTATGCTTCTGGAGATCAGTGGAGAAATAACTCCAGAAAGAATGAAGAGACAGAGCCAAAGCAAAACCAAACCCAGTTGTGGATGTGACTGGTGATGGAAGTAACGTCTGATGCTCTAAGAACAATATTGCACAGGAACCTGGAATGTTAGATCCATGAATCAAGGTAAATTGGAAGTGGTCAAACAGGAGGTGGCAAGAGTGAACATAGACACTTTAGAAATTAGTGAACTAAATTGGACTGGAATGAGCCAATTTAATTAAGATGACCATTATATCTACAACTGCGGGCAAGAATCCCTTAGGAGAAATGGAGTAGCCCTCATAGTCAACAAAAGAGTCTGAAATGCAGTACTTGGATGCAATCTCAAAAATGACAGAATGATCTCTGTTCGTTTCCAAGGCAAAATATTTAGTATCACAGTAATCCAAGTCTATGCCCCGACTAGTAATGGTGAAGAAGCTGAAAGGTTCTGTGATGACCTACAATACCTTCTGGAACTAACACCCCCAAAAGATGTCCTTTTCATTATAGGGGATTGGAATGCAAAAGTAGGAAGTCAAGAAATACCTGGAGTAACAGGCAAATTTGGCCTTGGAGTACAAAAAGAAGCAGGACAAAGGCTAACAGAGTTTTGCCAAGAGAACACACTGGTCATAGCAAACACCCTCTTCCAGCAATAAAAGAGAAGACTATATACATGGGCATCACTAGATGGTCAATAATGAAATCAGATTGATTATATTCCTTGCAGCCAAAGATGGAGAAGCTCTATATAGTCAGAAAAAACAAGACTGGGAGCTGACTGTGTCTTGGATCATGAACTCCTTATTTCCAAATTCAGACTTAAATTGAAGAAAGTAGGAAAAACCACTAGACCATTCAGGTATGACCTAAA